TCCATGTACGGGTGAAAGAATTGAGCCGAAATTTTTTTCTCATTTTTCTCATTTCTTATTTGAGATCTCCATTTTCCATCCAAATATTGTAACCTCCAATGTTTGCATTTTTTTTTCGCAAAACATGGAGGGAAGCATCAAATTATTGACTGACTGAATTATTGTTCGACTGTTCCTAAAATAACCCACAAATCACATGGAGGATTAATGAGAGTAAATTGGTTAATCAATGTGCGCGACCCGGTGGGATGAATTCTGCAGGAGTCCTAATCTTTTAGCAACGTACGCTTATCAGCCGATCTCCACCGTTGCTGGAAAACAGTTGAGAAATAAATACAGGACACGTTTCTTTTTTTCGAACTGAAAAGCTTGTTTTACCGTGCACACTCATTCGTTAATTTTCTCAATAATATCTCAATAATTACTTTACAAAATAGCAGAGACATTTTCTGTATAGTTTCACCAGTTCTACCTGCACCTGAATCTAGATACCCTGTATATATACAAGGTGTCCCAAAATCATCTTTAATTCTGAATAAACTCGTTTCGTGTCGGAGCAATTTAACGTGATTTGTCGCTCACGCTGCGTGAATCACCGGTAACCCACGTTGCTACATTATTGTTTATAAATAATATATGTCTCTCTCATATATAAAACTTATAAGAGTATTTCATAATTGCGTTTCATTCTAGAATTAAAATATCAAATGTCAAAACTTAACCGACAGATTCGATCGTTGACAGCTCACGCAGCACAAAGCATTGTACGATAGAGTTTTGGGATACCTGGTATATATTATATATATCATGAAATATATGGGCTCGTTAAACACAGTTGATTCATATAATAGTTGAACAAAAATCATAATGCGGTATTCGGTATACGATATAACATTCGATATAATCACCCATAAATTTGTCAACTGACTTATATCAGAGTTCATGATGCAACAAAAAACATATCTCATTGAACCTGTCGCTTTATAAATACAAAAACGCCGAGTTCATTGGTTAAGATTGAATTTATTAAGCTTGAATTTAAAGATATTTTTATATGTAGAATATTAAATAAATGTTTCCGATATAAGTGCAGCTTATAATTCACTGGTGAGGAATAAACGAATGATTCAAGAAATCGAAGAACCAATCGTGTCACACTTCATTGTGTTGCACCTACCTCTCGTATTTAAATTTATATAATACATTTCGATTGAATTGATTTTTAAAGCTGGTAAATATTCAACTTAAAAAATTGAGACTTGGAAATTACTATTTGCCATAATTACAAGAAAAGATCATTACGTTACTTCGATTTAACATTCAATTCACACGATCAACGAAGGAATCGGTCAGTCAAATAATTTAAGAACACTTCGCTACAACACGAACCGCCGAGGGCTGAACGTTCCTCGCACAATTGCGTTCAATCTCATGTCGATGAGACATATTGCGAATGCACAGCCATAATCACGGTTCTACGAATTATGATAATGTAATTTATCGTAATTTATTCGAATTACATAATTTATCGTAAAACCTTTGTCATTGCTACTTGTCACAACAAGGATGATCGTGTGTGTACATGAAATAGAGAAATTTTATCGAAATTCAGAAGTACAGAACACACACGTTCAATGACATAGCAACAAAGATGACGATGACGATGATGACGACGACGATGATGGCGACAGCGACGACGACGGTGATAGCAACGACAACGATGGCAACGACGATGAGAACGACGAATGCAACGACGACGACGATGACGACAACAGCGACGGCGATGACAACGATGGCGATTATGTAAAGTTCAATTACTACGAATATGATTACGACAACAACGACGATAATGATGATGATAATGATGATAATGATGATGATAATAGATGATAATAATTATTGTGATGATGGCGGAGATGATGATGGTAATGATAGTAATAATGATAATAATAACAACGATGATAGTGACGACGACGACGACGACGACGACGACGACGACGACGACGACGATGATAACGATAACGATAACGATAACGATAACGACGACGACGACGACGACGACGACGACGACGACGACGACGACGACGACGACGACGACGACGACGACGACGACGACGACGACGACGACGACGACGACGACGACGACGACGACGACGACGACGACGACGACGACGACGACGACGACGACGACGACGATGATAACGATAACGATAACGATAACGATAACGACGACGACGACGACGACGACGACGACGACGACGACGACGACGACGACGACGACGACGACGACGACGACGACGACGACGACGACGACGACGACGACGACGACGACGACGACGACGACGACGAC